GTTCCGCTGCTTCCATGTTGTGTCGTCAGGTCACCTTTGGTAAGTGAGGTTTTGCCGTCAGGGCTTTGCCTGGTTGGCGTTGTGTTCAAAAAGCTCCGTCGCGGCGTCGTCGTCGTCGTCGGATCTTCGGTAGCTTGTCGCACAGCAACCGCACCTCCATCAGTTGCTGCCCTTAGTTTCCCTGATACGGGCTAAGAGACCGGCATTGCGTTGGGCCAGAGTACTGCCGGTGGTGTGGTGACGTGCGGCGGCTGGGCGACGGCGAACGGGAAGGGCTTCGTGGTGTCCAATGAGTTTCTGTCAAGTAGTCGGCGATGTCACGTGGCCGCTCTCCTGGTTGTGGACGCGGTACATTGACGGCGAAGCCACACAGTCTCATCTGTCGGTACTGGCAACGGCGGTATGTGTGTCCGGCCTCGCCGCAGTGGTAGCAGAGCGGGGTGGTGGCCAGGGGTGCGCCAGACGTCAGTCTTCCTCGGTGCACTGCGCTGGGCCGCCAGTGAACGATATGACGTCGGTGGGGGTGGTGGCGGCGGTGGCGTCTGTCGACGAAAGTGCGATGGGGCGGCGTTTTGGCGTGGACGGGGAGGAGCGTTGTGGCGCACTGCAGTGCCGTAGCTCATAGCTTCCGGCTCGGGCAGCGGTGCTTGGGGAATTCGAAGCGATTGCCGAACTTCTTCTTGCACAATGTCGGCGATCGAATCCACTTGAGGCTGCGCCGAAAGCAACAGCTTGTGCAGCTCCTCCCGCACGATCGCTCGGATCGTTTCACGCAGGTCTTCGGAGTTACTGGCTTGAGCAGCAGCACATTCTGAAGTCAGGCGACGATTATACTGTCTGGTGCACATGTCCAGGGTCTTTTCGATAGTGGTCGCTTCGGCTACAAATTCTTGGACGATAATCGGTGGATTTCTCATCAGTCCCACGAAGGGCTCCTGTTTGACCCCTCGCATGAGGCAACGAACTTTTTTCTCCTCAGGCATGTCTGGGTCAGCGTGATGGAATAGCCGGGTCATTTCTTCCACGAAAATGGCGACATTTTCATTTGGTAGCTGAACCCGGGTCTCTCATAAAGCAGCGGCCCTCTCTTTGCGAGCGACGCTCGCGAACGTTTGCAGGAATGCGCCACAGAAAATATCCCACGTTCGGAGTGTGGACTCTCGATTTTCGAGCCAGGTCCTTGCGATGTCTTTCAAATAGAACAACACACGACGAAGCTTTTCGTCATGGTCCCAGTAGTTGAGGGCGGCCACACGGTCGTTTCTATCCAGGACTCCGGGTCTTCGAACGATGACCCATGGAAAATTGGTGGTTCCCTGGGTTGATGCATGACCATCGTGGGCTGGGATGTTGTCGCTGCAGTCGTGGTCATGGCCTTGGTCTTCCGGGCCTTGTCTTGTAGAAGCCCGTACTCCGGTGGTAGCCATTGCTGTCGGCGGCTTGTTCGCTGCTCCTGGTTGGCATCGGTGTCTTTTCCGCGATGTGGGCAGGGTTCACGCCTTGACGGGGGCGTCCGGTACATGAACGAAGCAGCACCTCTACCAGATGTCACGGGGTCGTAACGTGGCCAAAGACAGGAGACTTTATGTCGGGATTTAACTGTTTATTTGGGTGAACGTGTGCCCGGTAAACGGAAAGTTCGATTACAGTAGCAGTGAACGGAGTGTCGGCCGTCGATCAACTATTGACAAGCGGCGAAGCCCGTCGGCATTTATACTTTTGCCGTCGATTGTTCTAGCGCTATCGCTGGCGGTGGTGTAGGTTCCAGAATAATCTGTACTGTACGCAGAGTGGGCGTGATCTTATGGAAATGATCTACTACAGTCCGGAAGCTTCTTGAAAACTGCAGGCGCGGTTTGCGCTGAGAATTGTGTAGTGTTTTGGGACGATAACAAGACTTGGGAAATGGAACGCGTGGCAATATCGATGAATTCGTTATATGGAGGTTCGTTATAAGCAGGTTTGCTGTAGTAAAATTTCAGGCTTAGTAACGACTATATTAGCTCGATTGTGTATGTCACCACGATTGTAACACGGGGAGTGACTTTTCATTGTGTCCAGCAAGAAAAATTAAAATTGAGAAAGTTATGTCAGAAATGACTATTGTTGCGTCCAACAACAACAAAAAAAGACGATCGTTAAGGCAACGCTAGACCTGCGAAGACATGAATGTTCTAACACATGGTATTTGAACTCACCTATGCGATGCATTGGACTTTCTTTATGAAATAACCCTCTGCCGAGCAACATTGCTAGGTTTAGAACTGTCAGTTCAACACTGACCGAAGGGCAACAACTGCACTGTTCTGTGACAAAATCAGCGACACATTTCTTCAACGCAAAGTGGTCGCCGTGACAAGGGCCACGCAAACCTTCTTGATGGAGCATGAAAAGGAGCTCATGCTTGGGCAACTATGGCAGTTGATTGCCTCACTGACATCGACGCTTCGAGCAGCAGCTGATTTTTTTCGGCCGTCGAAATAGCACATCTCTTGAAACGGCTGTCACACAAAGCCCTACATGTTTCTATTGCAACTGAAGGGAAATTGAAATGCCAGAAGGCATCAAAAAGTACTGAGACTGCCTCACAGGACATCATAAAAACAAATGCAAAGTGTCACAAAAAAGAAGCAAGGAGAAGTTTTGTTGGCTTGTGCTGAATCCAAAATGAATTTGGCTGGTGCCTGTTGGCAACATGAATTGTGAAATGGTGTGGTGGTTCGGGCGCTGTCAGACACTGATAACCAAGACAAGAACAAGAGATAGGTCTTGACTTCACACACAATTATATGCGCTCTGAACGGCCAAACAATACAAATATGCTTTAGTTCCTAAGCCGCATACTTCTAAATCTACACACACGAGAATGAGCGCTTCCCGAGGTAAATGTTGTTTTGACGTCATTCACAGTACCATGAAGGTTTCAACAGGCAGGATCACAATAAACTCATATGAGCCTGTACGATGAACCTGTGCAACTGCACTTGAGCAGGGATGAACTGCTTGCTCTGGACCTCATAGGCCACGTTGCGCGCGATGTAGCACTGAGGCCACGAATTCAGCTTCGGGTTACGATAGGCCCGCCTGTACGTGGAACCATGACCACAATTTCCACTGGTTGTGCCGGACCCGCTTGGATGTGGCCACAATCTCCACCACTGGAATGGGATCAGCTGCTCGCTCGTTCCCTGCAGAAACAGCACTGCTTTTTCGGGTCAGGAACACTCTCTCGTCCCAATTGGCCTGGTACACCATCTCGGTTCCTCAGGTCAAATGATCCGTGCTCTTGCTAGCTAGCTGTCCATTCTCCGGCGAGTTGATGTCCGCTAGCTAATGCGCACCTTCGCCGTCTTCAGTTTCGGTTGGGTTTTGCTATCACAAATGGTCAAAACTGCAGACGTGTTGAGTTTGGTGTATCATTTCGCTTTTTAGACTACTTGAATTTCAATGTTCATTTCTAACGCCAAGGTAAACTTAAGGTAGCAAAAACCCTGTAAAAAAATTCACGTTACTTTCCAGCAAATGCAGTAATAGATCTCCTTCTTGACGAAAATGTTCATGATGTTCTTTTGAACTTTTCTGCCTTCACTGTGTCTCAATAAAGTGCCGCGGTTGTCTTGCTCATGTTGCTGGCGCGACGCATTCACACTTGGCATCAAAGGGAGAAAAAGTGGCCAAACTCAATTCACTTCCTTCGCTGCTTAAGAGGCCAGAAAATCGTGCTGCGAAGTCGACACGAAAAAAATCAGTCCTGAAGACGTCACACTCGAGAATTGAAGCGAAAACGCCAGAGGGGCCGCAAAACCTCATCCGCGCCTGTCGAAAGTGTTCACATTTGTTTTGCCCCTCAAATACATTCCACCACCGCCATCTTTCATGTGATTCCTATATCAGAGGGATCAGCCACATTATTCTGCAAATAAAGGCTCAGTTGAAATTATGTGCTTCGTCCTGTCTCGTCTCTACCTTGTTTGTTGCTTTTCGCACCAATTACTGTCTGCAGTTTATAATAGTCCAATTAACCTCTTATAATTATACGCAGCTGCCTATCTTGCTTTAGTTCTGGAACGACAGCTGCCCATCCAGTAGTCTTCACTGATTGGACCACACCTTGACTGACCAGCCTCTGCAATGACTCCTCACACAAAGCAAAGGGTGCTTGAAAAATCTGGGTTTGGCATCTGGCAGCACCGTAATGCGAGCCTGAACCCCACGAAACTATGTGAAAACGCTTCTTGAAAATAGTCCACGGCTTCTTCGACATGAAAAAAATTACTTACAGATTTCTGATTCCCAACTTGAATTGCTTCATCCGGCTTCTGCGAAGCATGCTGGGCACTGCCCTTTTACTACAAACATGTTTCTCCTCCTCCACAGGCTTCACAGCAGCCGCAAACTTACCATTGACTGTGTCTCTACAAACACTCTCAAGTGTACATAGAATTGTTCCAAGGCGGCCGGTGGGAACAGTTGCGTGAACCTGGTTTCACTGGTGGTGGAGACGCTGGCGCCTGTAATAAGTTCTATTTCTAGCGGCATGCCATTAATAATAACTACAATGCTCATCGGTGTGGGCCCGGCTGCCTGAAGTGCCCAAAGTCGTACACTTCCGACGTTTCACTAGCTTCAAGTGCCCCACACACTTCATACATGGTGTTCTTGTGCCTTGAATTTGTGCAACACACCTATCTGTTTACTAACTCGCTATCACTCTTGCGCACTCTTGCCAGATGCCCTTGCTGCCAACATTTGTAGCAAATTGAGTTGACGTGTTGGCACTGGCACACTTGATGAGAATTATCGCTGAGGTGATTCGCGTTATCCTGGTTGGTGTTGAAAAGAGCAGAAGCCATGTGGCAGAAATTGTAGTACGAGGTCTTTGTGCCATGTGTTGTGTCTTCGAAGTTCATTCAAGGTGTTTACTAGTAACCTGCCTCCGTAGTGCGATGCACTCAGATTGATGACCAAGCAAGGCAGGGCTTATGAGTTTTCCTTTCCAGGGCCATATGGAGAGCAAGATGATGAACAGGTCTTCATTCAGAAGGTTGTGCCTGAAACCGACCAGCTGTACGTGCGCTTTGCTTCATCAGGCAAAAGGTGAGCATGTGCAGTAGTCAGGAACGTGCGAAAGGGCACATTTTTGCTGCATAGTCTTCGCTGCTCCATTTACAAAGTCTTTGTGTGCTAAACAAGGAAAAGAGCATGCAAGACCCACAGTGTTTTAGTGGTGATTGCTTTGTACTATTGGCCAGAACCCTTGGATTCATAGGATTAAGATGGAAAAAATTCACACCATCTTCCCAAAGGGAACTCTGACGGGATGTGAAGCAGCGAGTGGTATATAGGGTGAAGCGAGAGAGAGGTGACACGTACTGACATGTTTCAACGTGTACATTAGACGTGCGTCAGGTTTATTCTGCGTGAACCGACGAGTCAGTGGTGTAGCGAGAAGTAGTAGCAGCGGGTGTTTCGGGCGAATAGATGAAGCAGCAGCTGCGGGTGCTGCAGTGAGCTCGCAGCAGGCGAGAGAAAGAGTGACATCAGTGCGTACTGCGAGGGGATCGTGACATTAACGTGCAGGTGTGGTGGGACCTACTTGGCACCACTCCAACACCTGCGACGAAAGAAATACATTGTGGAATGTTTGTACCGATGTACGTACATATGGAATTACACACGCGAGTCGAAGAGCTGCTTCGAATTTAAAAGAAACACACACGGCTGCCCAAGACTTCTAATTGAACCATCTTCCTGCCTTCATTGCCAGCAACCCTCATCATGCATCACTCAATACTGCCATTTCTGACTTGTAACACCACTCCTCTCTGTAATGATGCAAATGGCATTAATAGTAATAAATAAATAAATAAACTGCCTTTGAAAAGAAATTAGAACTACCCAGTTGTAATTTTTACTATTTCAATAAGCATTGGGCATTCCAATTTCTGAATATTTTAGTGCAATGGTGTCACTAGGACGAAAACAGCAGTCGGCTTCTCCAAGGTGGAAAATCTTGGTTTCGCCGAATTTGTGGCCAGGAAAACAGAAACTGGAAGTAGAGCAAGCACCGCACGCTGTACACTGATGTCTGCGCGCAGAGCGCCTGTCGACAATAAAACTGACAAGGGGTGAAGCGAGTCGTCATCTATGCATGTTCTGTCGAATATTCCAGCGTTATCACCAGTGCCTACATAAGTTCTAGAAGAAACTGTGATGTTTGCGTTATGCACATTGAAAGGTTCTAAGATTATCTTAGTGGTTCTTAGCCGTTTGGAGCAGTTTGCTTAAGGCAGCGCTTACACATGGAATGAGACGATTGCAGAATATGAGAAAGGAGTGTGGCATTGCCCTTCTTCTGACTAAGGCAATAAGGCGGTTACTTTAACAGAAAATGAAAGTGCAACAATAAAGCAAGAAATTACAACAATAAAGTAAAAATTGCAGTCCACAGGTTCTCTAATGCACGTAGAACGGTTTAAGGGTGCACAACATGCCTGACTTCGGGCAGCACACAGTGCCATTGAGAGTTCATAATCCAATGTGGGATAACCTCGTAGTCTAGAGCACCCAGATATTGAAGCACCTTGTACGAGTCAAAGTATCATTCAAACAGTGTTCGACCAAGTCCACATCATTATATTGGTATCCATACCAAAACGCAGTCTCTATGCTGGTATTCCATGATGAATCGCTGAAGATTGTAATGGCAGTTGTCAGCTGTCTGTCAATTCTGGATGCATAGATAGGCAAGCTGTCGAGCTTTTTCAGCTCTTTGCAAATAAGTGGCGATGTTGAGATTGTCTTCATTGGTGGTAGTGGCATCAATTCGTCCAGCATCACTGCTGGGCTTCTTTTGTAGACCAACTTGTTTAGCAACAGCTGCATTGTTTCTTGCACTGCCGTGTTGAATGCAAAAGTCATGTACAGAAGGAAGGATGGCATCCCACGTCTTGTGCTCAACGTCGAAGTATAGGTCAGCATGTGGTGATGGTCTTGTTTACACGCTCAGAGAGGGCACTATTCTATAGACGTTGGACTCCTCCAGGTGGCGCTAAGAAAAATGCCGCCACCAGCGCACCCATCGCCGTGCCGACCATAAATGGGTAGTGCAAAGAGAATTGTCCGTAAGTGAATGTGTATAGGCCGTTCTTTATCGTTGGTGTTCAGGTACGGTATTCTGAAAATCAAGGACCTGGCAAGCCTCTTTCTTCAATACAAGCTCGTTTCAGAAAAGTAGGAAGCTCATCAAAACGCACTGCAGGTACAATGCAAAATATTTTTGTTACTTTGATGTGCCGCAAGTGAGCTTCGCATATTATCGAGCTCGAGGAAAGCACTCCAACGTGGGTTCTGTAATGTCTGAATGGGTTAAACTTGAGCATACACATGATGCTGAAGCGTTGAAATGCATACACGAGCAATGTAACGATCAGTAGTGTGGAGCACCCGTAGTCTGGCATGAATGGCCCTGGCGATTTCTGTTTTGCAGTTGCATTCTCCATCAATCTCTCGCTTCCTGTGCATTGAACTGCTTTATTACGCATGCTAGAATGTTCTGTTCACGATTGCTTTTCATTTGTATGAACTGCTAATATACAATGAAATGCAAAACCGAGGCCTCTGAGATAGCTGTGGCAATCGCGAAAACCAATGGCAAGAAAAATCCAGTTGTGGTCGTGATAATTTTGCAATTTACCTGTGTGACGTATGCATTTGTATTTCCTAGTTAAAGCCGGACTTTAGAGTCTTCAAAGCTCTATGTGCATAATGCCGCATGGTGGCGACAACTTCAGATTATCTGTGGTCGCGTCGTGTGCAATGCTTATCGTTCACGTCACCTGTCTGCTGTTGCACGGCGTGTACCGTGGTCAGAGGCTTTGTTAAGATTCAAAATCAATATTACCGTGATTCTCCGTCAAGGCTACTTAAAATAATAACAGGTGACCTATATTATCCTACCTTCTCATGTGACTGGCTGTGGAAAACCCCAGTAATTCGCTTACCCAACACATTCAAAATCCAGCGATCTCGCAGTTCTGCTTTGCGAAAGCTGCGGAAATCTATAACACTGAAGTCACTTGTGTCCGTGGCGATTCACAACACAACAGTAGCTAGAGTGGGGTCTTGTTTCGTGGAATGCGGAGCTGTTGTGCCGGCTTTTGTTTTCACCGTCATTCTGGCGAGTGAAGCAGCAAGCACCTCATGGCGGTTCGGTGACGTGTCTGACTAGCGAAGACGAAAATCGTAGCTCTTTTTCCAAGTGTTCGTTGCACAAATACACCAAATATTTCACTGAATCGGTGTTTCTGTAGGTGCAAATGCTGTAGGTGCACCTGGTTGCACAGTAAACTGTGCAAGAGAGTCGGGCTTTGCACTACTCAAAACTGCGTCGGCAAGTGGCGTCGATGTCTGCAAAACTCCAGAGTCTGATATCTATGGGTGGTAGGCGGTAGTCCAGCGGTGGCTTGTTTGGCTGTATGCCAAGATCCCCTGAGTTATGCCAGCAGTAAATGTTGTAGCTCTGTCGGTGGTGAGTAATTATGGGGCACGATGACGCAAGACAATGTTTTCAAAGAAGAACTTTGCTACCTTGGCGGCACTGCCTCTAGGTAGAGCCCTTATTTCGACGAAGCAGGTGAGGTAATTGGTAGCCACGATGACCCCTTTATTACCAAAATCGGACATAGGGAACAGCCGTAGTTGGGCCGTACCAGTTTATTGGAACGGTTGGTGGGGTGGTTCAATCAGCTGAAGAAAGCCTGCTGGCCTTGTCGGTGGTGTTTCGCATTGCTGACAGTCTCGGCATGTCCTCATTTAGCTAGCCACATCCGCGGCAAGGCGCGGCCAGTCGTAATTGGGGGACACCAGCAGCACTTTTGGCCCTCTCCGATGTTGACCAGTCAATGTCCCCAACCAGATTTCGACACCTACCTGAGCCTTCCGATGTCCAAACAAGACCAGCTCGAAGTCCTGCTCCTGTAATTAAGGACTGCTTCTCGTCGTCATCAGGAATTTGTTAGAATCCAGTTGCAAAACATTGTATCATAACGATAATTAACAGCACAAAAAGAACGAGAGACAAAGAGAGGAGCACTACACCAGCGCTTGTTTTGTGTAGTTCTTTCTTTTTATTCTCTCGCTGTTAGTTGTTATTAACTTATTATGTGTCTGTACTTACTGGCCCAGCTTACCAGTTTTTTTAATCGAGCCATAGCTGTAATGTTTGCGTTATGCACACAATCGCATTGAAAGGTTCTAAGATTATCTCAAAAGTTCTTAGTCATTCAGCACAGTTTGCATGAGATATCGCTCACACGTGTATAGGGCTGTTACAAAAGTTGCAAAATGAGTGTGGCAATATTCAGCCCATATTTAAGGTGATGGTTGCTTGTGGGGCTAGTTGGTTCATTTGAACACATATAACAGTGGGTAAAACTGGAAAGGACGACGCAAACAGAATGCAAAGGGTACCGACCTCAGATACCAGGTGTAAATATAAGCACAGAGCTAGTGCGAAAAGCAAAGAAATAAAGCCACAGAAAAAAAAAGCAATCAGCATATAATGCACTGGGTGATTACTTAATCTGTGTTGTCCTTTCCAGTTTTACACACTGTTGCATTTGTCTGTACTTAATACCGTTTATTCGAAGGAGGAATTCTCGCGGTCATAAAATAACTGTATAACCACTGCCCACAGTAGATGATGGGACGTCATCCTATGTCATGTGAAAGTGTAAATGTATGCTAGCCTTCACTTGCTCTAAAATAATAAAGTTATATACAGCTAGGAAGTAATAAAATGTCACAGCAATTTTTTAGCACACAGTAGAACTCGACGTCCAAAAGCAGACTGTGTCTTAACTATGGTTGAGGAATGGGAGTTTGAATGGCACTTGCACCAGGTTCTAGCAGTTTTTGACAGAAGTTGTGCTTGTCTGGGCTCCTTCGGTAAAGGGCGAGGGAAGGTTCATTTTGTAATTTAGTGTATAAATCTAATCATTCTCACATTAATTTGCTTCATATGGTTGCACGGTTTATCTACATGATGTCCTTACAGCGCTGCAGCCAAAATGCATGATGCTTCAACCCTCAGTCAA